CATCAGTCTTACACAATTCACAGCACTCACCACAGCACATACGCTCCCCAATGTCCATCACACAGCTACCCCATCCCTCCCAGCCCCCACCACTCCAGCAACCCTCAGTTTGTTTCCTGAGATTAAGAGTCTCTTATGGTTTGTAAAAGTCCATAATATCTTAAAGAAAAAAAAAAAGAATTTGTATCTGACTTCTGAATATTTTCTATAGTGTTATCATGCTGTCACTTACCATAGAAAACATTGTGAGTTCTTTTACCCTTTGTTGACACAAAAGCTCTGACCATAACACAAAATTCCTATTGAAACATATAGCTCAGTCATTTTGAAGCTATGTGATGTTACCCAGAGACAGGCCTTGTCAATCTGTAAGCTCCTAGAGAGAATGGCTACATTGTTTGGATAATTGTGGAAGATTTTCCTAAATTGTCATGAACAAAGCTTCTACTAATCTCCACTTTCTCAGCATCACCTGTCATATAATAGGCTTGGAAGAAATGGAAAAATCAGAATTGATTACAAATTCTCTTAGACCACAGTGATATCAACAAAATGGCAGACTAGGCAGTTACGTGCCCTCTGTACCCTCTGGAAACATTAGAAGAACAACTAGAGACTAAAATAACTTTATAGGAGCTCTGAAACCAGTCAAAAATCTAAAGCAACCAAGCAAATGCCCAATCAAGAAAAAGCCACATTCGATATGGTAGGAAATTTTGTGACACTTGTACTCTCCCTTGTCCCACCCTTTCTCCATGAGAAGGGACAGCCTTTTCAACAAGTGGTGCTAGGAAAACTGGATATTCCATGCAAAAAAATTATTAAGTTGGACCCTTACCTCACACCAAATACAAAAATTAACTCAAAATGGACCACACATCTAAATTCAAGATTAAAACCATAACAATCTTAGAGGAAAAACTTCATGACACTGGATTTGGTAGTGATTTCTTGGATATGACACCAATTACCCAATCAACAAAAGAAAAATTAGATAAATTGAACATCGTCGAAATTAAAAACTTTGTGCATCAAAGGACACTGTCAACAGAGTGAAGAGGAAACCCGTGGAAAAGAAGAAAATATTTGCAAATCATACATCTCATAAAGGTTTAATATCCAGAATATATAAATTAATTCTACAATTCAACAGTAAAAAAATCAACAACTCCATTAAAAACATGGGCAAAAGGGGGCGCCTGGGTGGCGCAGTCAGGTAAGTGTCTGACTTTGGTTTAGGTCATGATCTTGGGGTCCTGAGATGGAGCCCCATGTTGGGTTCCCTGATTATGGGGGAGTCTGCTTCTCCCTCTCCTTCTGCCCCTCCCCCGCACTCGTGCGTGCACGTGTGCATGCTCTCTCTCAAATAAATAAATAAATACATAAATAAAATCTTAAAAAAATATATGGGCAAAAGAATATATAAATTCGGGGTGCCTGGGTGGCTCAGTCGGTTAAGCGTCTGCCTTCCGCTCAGGTCATGATCCCAGGGTCCTGGTATCGAGTCCCACATCGGGCTCCCTGCTCAGCAAAGAGCCTGCTTCTACCTCTCCCTCTGTCTACCACTCTGCCTACTTGTGCTCTCTTTCTCTCTATCAAACAAATAAATAAAATCTTTATTTTATTTTATTTTTGGGGATTTTATTTATTATTTGAGAGAGAGTGAAAGAGAGCATAAGCAGGGTGGTGGGGAGCGGAGCCGGGAGCCCAATGTGGGGCTGGATCCCAGGACCCTAGGATCATGACCTGAGCTGAAGGCAGACACTTAACTGAGCCACCCAGGCGCCCCAATAAGTAAAATCTTTAAAAAAATAAATAAAATAAATAAAAATGGTTGAAATGGTAAATTTCATATTATTATATTTTATCCCCCCAAAAAATAGAAATAAAAATATCTTAGACCAGGATGTCTCCAGACAGTGCCTTCTGTCACCGGGTGCTTAGGTTAACACCTCTTCCTCTTGCTGTGGCCGATAGAAGCTGCCTTGACAGGTGCATGAAAAGATTTTAATTTATCTTTTTTTTTTTAAGATTTATTTATTTATTTGAGACAGAGAGAATGAGAGACAGAGAGCATGAGAGGGAGGAGGGTCAGAGGGAGAAGCAGACTCCCTGCCGAGCAGGGAGCCTGACGCGGGACTCGATCCCGGGACTCCAGGATCATGACCTGAGCCGAAGGCAGTCGCTTAACCAACTGAGCCACCCAGGCGCCCCGATTTTAATTTATCTTTAAAAGCATCTTTAACTCCCTAATGCTGCCGGAGATCATAAATATAATGTCTATGTCACGTACAAGCTCACACTAAGATGTATTTTTATTTTTTAATTTTAATTTAATTTAATTTTAATTTTTTAAATTTATTTGTCAGACAGAGAGAGAGGGACCACAAGCAGGGGGAGCAGCAGAGGGAGAGGGAGAAGCAGGCTCCCTGCTGAGCAGGGAGCCTGATGTGGCTCTGAACCCAGGACCCTGGGATCATGACCTGAGCCGAAGGCAGACCCTTAACCAACTGAGCCATCCAGGCATCCCTAAGACGTATTTTTATATTCTTATTGCCATTGTGCCTAAATATTTTCTTTTTAACTAATTTGAGATGTGATATTTCATGTATATTAATAAGATAAATGTTTTGATACATAGATAGCAAAGTTAGTAAATGACTATTTGATTGATGGAATTAATTCAGGAGCAATGTACACCAGAAGCAATCTCATCTACATCTCTCTTGCTCAATTTAAATGCCCCAGAAAGAGCCAAGATGTCCATCAACAGATGAATGGATAAAGAAGATGTGGTATATATATACAATGGAATATTATGCAGCCATCAAAAGGAATGAAATCTTGCCATTTGCAATGACGTGGATGGAACTGGAGGGTATTATGCTGAGCGAAATAAGTCAATCAGAGAAAGACATGTATCAGATGACCTCACTGATATGAGGAATTCTTAATCTCAGGAAACAAACTGAGGGTTGCTGGAGTGGTGGAGGGTGGGAGGGATGGGGTGGCTGGGTGATAGACATTGGGGAGGGTATGTGCTATGGTGAGTACTGTGAATTGTGTAAGACTGTTGAATCACAGATCTGTACCTCTGAAACAAATAATACATTATATGTTAAAAAAAAAAAGAAGAAGAAGATAGCAGGAGGGGAAGAATGAAGGGGGGGAAATCGGAGGGGGAGACAAACCATGAGAGACTATGGACTCTGAGAAACAAACTCTGAGGGTTCTGGAGGGGCGGGGGGTGGGGGGATGGGTTAGCCTGGTGATGGGTATTAAAGAGGGCACGTTCTGCATGGAGCACTGGGTGTTATATGCAAACAATGAATCATGGAACACTACATCTAAAACTAATGATGTAATGTATGGGGATTAACACAACATAATAATAAAAAAAGAAAAGAATAGAAAAAAAAAATAAATGCCCCAGATTTATTTAAGGCATATATTGGCCTCCTTACCCAAAATAATCATCCTCCTTCCTTCTACCTGCTCGAATTCTACCCATTCTTTAGGGCCTAGCTAAAGGCAAGTTATTTTACAAAACATTTCTTGACAATCCCAGCCCACACTTGTCTTCCTAACTTCTAGTCTCTATCTAGTCATTTAGTAACAGACTGCCTTGTATTATTTGCTATCACTTTGTGTTTTAGAACTAACTAAAACGTACTAAAAAATTAGCAATGGGGGGGGTCTGGGTGGCTTAGTCCGTTGAGTGTCCGATTCTTGGTTTCAGCCCAGGTCATGATCTCAGGGTTGTGAGATCGAGCCCCACCCCGGGCTCTGCACTCAGCATGGAGTCTGCTTGAGATTCTTTTCTCTCTCTCTCTCAATAAACAAACAAATAAATAAATAAAATCTTTTAAAAAATTAGCAATTAGTCCAACCTGAAAGGACAGCCCAAAATACTGATACAAGGTAGATTCACTGAAACCACATTGTAAATTTATTGGTTCCCTTTCAAGTCTAGCGCAGCTCCATGTGAACACACGAGTTCAAAATTACTACTGATGTGGATTCTTTAATCATTTAATTCTAAAAACTGGCTTATGGAAGGCTGAAAGACTTCCCTTTCTCTCACCCCCAGTACACACACACACACACACACACAAACACACATGCACACACACACAACTATACCTACTGGCACACTATATTTCCCTGAGTAGCAACTGTACAGAAAGCAACTTTGGGTGCCAAGGCAAAACTATTTTTTGAGTACCCACTATATGCAAAGCACTTTGCTAAACCCGGTGAATAAGGAATTCACTCCTCTCTAGTCATCTTTAACCCAAATTCAGAGTCTGTTACATTGGTGGGTAAGGCATGCCTCTGGGCATTGGACTGTTGGGTAAATCCAGGAATTTTCTTCTTGGAGCAGACCAGAAATCAAACTGAGAAAAAAAAAAAAAAAGATGAGAGGAGGTGGAGGGTCATTGTCTTCCCCTACTATTAAAAAACATGAACTCAAACTGAAGAAGTTCAGCCTTTGTAGTTAAGACTACATATTACTGTGAGTTCAAATTCTTTCTCTTAATATATAAGATTTATTGAAATGATACTGTTTGAGCAGAACTGAGAAAGCTGAGTATTATTTCAGGTTTTCAAGCCCTAAGGAAAAATAGTGCCTTTAGGTTTTCCATTCAGCTAGGAAAATTATAGCTTCATATTTGCAACACTAAAGCTAATGCAGTGTCAGCACCTCCATCAAATTCTGTTGTTCAGCAGTTTATAATTCAAGCAGAAAGTTTCACTCCAAGCCCAAACCTGGCCTACACAATCTCAAAGCAAATGGAGAAAAAGTTATTTTGGCTAGGGCTGATTTATAAAAGCGAAAGAGAGGGGTGGGAGGAACGACCGGGCTTGGGAGGGCTGTTTTCGGAAGGGGCGACGCTGGGGTCTGGAAGAGAGGGCGAGCCTGGCGGCGGCGTCTGCAAGCTCTCACGGGGCTTTGGCACTGCCCGGGTCAGGCAGGACTTACAGGGCTCCGGGCTCACCTGATTGAAGTGTGCACCGATGAGCGAGGGTTCCCATATCTTTGAACTGTTGTTCGCAGTCCCGCCTTTCTCTTTCTTGGGTGCCATGCAAAGGACGGGAGGAGCATTGGCGTCCAGACTGGGCTCAGGCCCCGACTGAGCGTCCCCGCTGCCATAGTAACCGAAGCCACGCCCAGTTCCCGGACGACTTCGGTTCCCCTCCCCCAAACCTGTCCTGAAGCCTCGGGCCAACCGCTTCCGTCACCATAGCAACCGAGCTTCCCAGCCCGCGGCAACCCCGAGGCGGGACTCCCAGACCCCCTGATTAAATTTTAGGGTTTTCCAGCGGTACAACTGTGCAAATGGGAGCGGTCAGGCCGAGGCCGGCTTCGCTTCGCCCCTCTGCTGCTACGCGGAGCCTCTCCCGCCCGAGGCACTGTCTAGAAACTCAAAATCCCCGGAATCCCGTGCATGACTTGGACACCAAGTTTTTCGACCCTGGGCAACCTCGAATGGAGAACCGAGTCCCTCAGGAGACATCCCATGTCCCTTTCTCACCCACCCATTCTAATCTGCCCCAACTGCTTCCTCTTGTGCACATTTATCTCCCTGAGCTCCTTCCTTGGCTTCGTTCTTGGGTCCTGCTCCCACGCACGGACTTCCTAAACAAGTCGGATCACTTTTCCAGGAGATCCGTTGTATAACTGTGGTTGCGATTAAGATCTTTCCAGGTCTTTTTCTCTAATCAGCGCCAGTTCTCCCAAACCGTCCTCCACTGGTAAGTAGTCTTTCTCCCCCCCCCCCCACCCCCAACACTCACCACCACTACCTAAAAGATGGTGGTCACAGTCCCCCAAATAATAATGACAGTAATAATAGTAATGGTAATAACAACAGCTCCTTTTTCGTGATCACGGCTATACCCTGCACATAGTTCTATCATTTAATTCTTACGACCACCTTCTTGCAAATCCCACGGTGTGTGAGTGACGGCACTGGGGTTAGAATCCAGGGTTGTCCGGGTTCCCAAACCCAGTGCGCTTAATTAACCTCTACAACGGTTTTAGGACTGCCAAAATGAGAGATGCCCCCCTTTGGGGGGCTAGACTTACTTTTATTTATTTTTTATAAATAAATAAGACTGATTTAAGGACAGACAGGGGCAGAACTCAACCAAAGGTGCTTTGCTTTTAGTACCTATAAAATGCAATGTTTAGCTATTCGCCTGAACCCTGCGCTTGCCGGGAGGTGAGATGCTTCAACAATCCCAATGGACCGGGGATGGCTAAGGAGACGCATGTGACCTAAGGCTTAATTTCATTCAGCACAACCTGCCAGCTGACCTTCTACGGAGTAAGGTGTTGTAATGCTTTTTATTGCTTTCTTTGAGGAATAAATTTATGTGTGAGGGCCATGGTGATATCCAGCCACTACTATCTTACTTCATTGGGGGGGGGCGGTGAGTTTAAAGATGCCACTGCTTCTCAACTCCTATTCATAATTTGGACCAACAAAGGGAAATTTCTCCTCCCACCCCAGTTCTTTAATACAGATTATTAAAGAGAAAGCACAATTTCTAGAAACAGTCTTTTCATAGGAAATTTACAAAAAACATCGACTTTTCCTTTCTTGCTGCAATATGTGTATTTATCTTCTGGGTTGGACTAGATCCATGTAGCCTAGTCACAAGTCCTATCTCGAAGCCCTCTCTTGTGAGCCCAGAGGAATCATGCCAGAAAGAGAGTTTCCTGAGGGTCTTCATTGCAACCACGTAGGCTGCCACTGATCCATTATCATAGAAATTTCTCCAAAATTTTGTTCGTCATTAAAATTTTCTTTTCTTTTTAATTTAATTAAATTTTGTTACGTTATGTTAGTCACCATAAAATACATCGTTAGTTTTTGATGTAGTGATCCATGATTCATTGCTTTCGTATAGATGAAAACTGTCTTTGGGTTACAGTTTGAATATAAAGATGAATCCCTGACAGACAAAAAAATAATATATATATAAGAAATCATTGATTACACATCATTCTTCATTTTGACCATAAGTCTTCCCATGGGTTTAAACCGTCTGGGAAAAACGTCTTTCATTTTTATTAGAGAAGCAGTAAAAAGTTTGTTGGCCTTCCAGTTAGATTTTATAAAAAATTTAACTAGATGTTTATGTGTGTCATACTATGTTACTAATTTTCTTTCTTCTTGAATGTGAATGCATATTTCAATATAAAACATTATGGACAATCAGTTCAGCCAAATTGCTAGCAGATGATTAATAGGTTGCAGATAAGAAAGAGAAATGAAGGAGAAAAATGGAATGAGGAGAAAAAGTAAAATTAAGTGTTCTTTAAAATTGCAGAGAAAGTGTCACTTGCTTTGTCTTATAAGTGACAGCTGTCTAACCCCAATTTTTGCAGCAACAAAATTTTGGTGACATATATTGTGGTAAAAACTGATGAGCTCTTCATCAAACATTTCATTCTCTTTCCCCCTACTGTGAGAGTCAGACAACATTTTTCAGCCTTCCTTATTCTTCGATGGGAACATGTGACTGAGTTCTAGCCAGGGGACACAAGTAGAATGATATATGGGCATATCTAAGCCTGGCCTTTAAAAATATCTCCCGAGCATTATTCATGCTCTGGTATTGGGGTGACACTGAAAGTCTTGCATTTCTGAATGATTGCTGTGGCACAGAGGTTCCAAAGTCTCCCTTACCCCTGAGCTCCCTCTGTTTTCTCCACCAAAGGCCTTGCTTGGGACCACTAAGTGCATGAGAAATAGACTTTTATTTTCTTAAGCTGCTGAAATATTGGTGTTTGCTATAGCAGCTAGAGTTACCCTAACTAACGTTTTTGATAGTTTTCATCTGAGAGCCAGCTTTTAATAAATCTAACGGTAGCCAGCCTTCCCACAATGGCCTGAGAAAATGAGCTCGTGACTTTCAAGTAGGCGGGATGCAGTGCTGGCCACTGTGGGAGGCTAAACAATCCATTCCTTGCCCTTCCGGCTACTGCAGCTAGTGGTACCCACCCTCTTGCACCCTTTACCTTGCCCTCCACCTGCTTCTACAGTACATTTTTTCACTTCTTTATCAAGTTAATAAATTCCTTACTTTAAAGAAGGGGTTTGCATATTTGAGTAATACAATGAATCAGTCTGCTTATAACACGTACACCAATGGAGATTTTCGCTCATTTTTCAGAAAACGAACCGAGACCCTTCACTAGAAAGACATCTCTGAACATAAATTATGATCTAGCAAATGATTTAGAGGAATTAAACATTTTAAATGTCAAAAATAAAGATTTCAGGATGGAAAAATGTACTTCCAATATAATCTTTTATAGTTTCCTTTGTAAAAGTCCTAACAGAAGAATTTTTATGTAGATTTTTTTGAAAAAACCTATTTAGAGAATTTGAAATTAAAGTTTTATGCCTCTTTCCTACTTTTGGCCTATTTCATTATTCTAGGGAAAGTGGCACCGTGGATAATTTATGATACAAAAGGGGAAGACATTATACAGTAACCAAATTTATGGGAGGTTTCATCATAGAATTGGTCTGTTTATTTTCAGAAAATAGGTGTGAATGACAGTGTTCATAGTTTTAAGAAGTGAAAGCCATTCAGCTAAAAAGGGACACTGCCAAGAAGAGAAAAAAAAGAGCATTGCCATCTGTCACACATTTATGCTTTTTTGGTATAATAAATTGTTTCCCCAACTAAATATAAATTGAAACTTTATAAGCATATACTTTACTACATAAATTTTCCCATATGTCAGTGGCTAAAACAAAACTAGACTATTTGGAGGATTTTCTTTCACATTGGCAGGGTTACTCCTGGCTTGTTTCAAGTAATTTTTGCATTTAATATTGTTTTGTTCACCAAGGACTGTCTACTTTTAGGGATGCACTGTTTCTTAAGGATACTATGATTACAGAATAAGTTGTTTTTAAAAGTTTTATACATCAATCTTACAGTGTTCAGTGAACTCTTATTTAGGCATGAAGTCTAAGCATTATTTCTCATACCTGAAAGGATCGAGCCAGCTCTTGATGCATCCAGTGACCTTACTAGGTAACATTAAGAGCTATGGACCAATTCACTTCTAGGCCAACATTTCAGGCATTCAAAGAATATTTAGCTAGAACAATCCGCTTGCCTTTGGCTAAGAAGGTCTCACAGATGTGCACTGATTTTTCACACTGGCATCCTACATCTAAGAACACTTCTCACAATATGTTTGTGTTATTTACCATCATAATCTCTGTGCTTCCGATCTTCAAAATACAATGTCGTAACGCACTGTCCCTGAGTTTTTATTGTGTCTGATGCAGAGGGCTTGATCTCTTTCAGCTACGAGTTTCAAAACATATGGAAAATACTACACCTGCATTCTATGGTCAGCATTAGCTTCCTATTCAGTTGTGAGTGCAATTTAAAGTGTTGACTTTAATCTTTAAAGCCCCTCATTGTTTAGAAGTCAGTTACTCCAGATATCACATCTCTCTCTATGCATCATCATGGCAATTAAAATCAGCTGCAGTGTCTGCAGGTCAGAATCCCCAGTGAATTGCGGGGAGCTTGGGAGTAGATCATTTTCTAAAGAAGAACTTCCCTAAGAACCCTCTTGAATGATAAAAACAATATTCAAAGTTTACAGTTTTGGCCTTGAATGTCTTATCATATATCTATAGGTCTCTGGAACTGTAATTAAGTGATGCTGATTTAATTTTTATTTTATTTTATGTTATTTGTGGCCAAGAGTTTAGAATACCAAATCTATTTTTTAATGAATCAGAAAAATAACAGTTGTGTATATTAAAAATAGAAAAACTAAAATTCATCTGTTTCATATTTGTTAGTGTGGGAGTTTTCACTCCAGTATGCTCTCACTCAAGTTTTTCTTTGAATCTAATTTTAAATGTCTTCAGTGAAGGGATTTGCTGTAAATCCTTTGGGGACTGTTTCAAAATCCATAACTCATGGTAAGTCATTTCTCTAAATGCTTAGCTAAATGTTTGATTTCTTAACGTTTTATCAGATGTCTGTCACTTATAAATTTGTGCTATGTTAAATAATAACTTTCTTTTTACCGTGTACAAGGTTCAAAACCTATGGTTGAGGTGAGCCTACATTAAATCATTTGCCAGACCACAGAACAATCTTTTGGGAAGAAAAGATATTATATGTCTATATGTGTCCATATCTGTATCTGTATCTGTATATTCTATTGCTTATGTTTCTCTGGAGAACATTTACTAAATACACTGGTCTTTAAGACAGTATTTTATTTATTTTAGAGAGAGAGAGAGAGAAAGAGAGAGAGCATGTATGAGTGGGGGGGTGCAGAGGGAGAGGAAGAAAGAATCTCAAGCAGACTCCCCGCTGAGTGTGGAGCTTGACTTGGGGCTCCATCTCATGACCCATGAGATCATGACCTGAGCTGAAATCAGGAGTCAGGGCTTAACTGACTGAGCCAACCAGGCATGCCAAGAGGGCATTTTTCTTTTTTTTTTTTTACATTTCCTGTAGTTTAATATGTGGTGAATTCTTTGAAAAATCACATTTATTACAACACAGTTTTTATTATATGTATCTTATTTGACATCCTTTTTTCAGATATTGATAAGCATTGGCTTCTAGGTGAAGTATAAAGAAATATTCACAAAAGTGGCATCTTTTATGTTTTTAAGAAATTTAAGAGGAGATTTCATTGAACTGTGGAGTCTTTCTGGTAACAATATAATAGTATGGAAACTTTATTATTG